AAAGTCAGTAATATTTTTGCTCTAACGTTTGTAAGCCTTATTTTAAACATGAAGTTTTGATAAACAAAGATAAAAACCAACTTTTCAACTTTTCGCTTTGACAACCTTGTAAAAATTTAAAGTAATTTAAATTGAAAAATGTTTTACGTTGAAAGAAAATCTCCGCGCGAAAGAGCAAATCATCTATTCATCTATCTATTCAGAATAATAAATTTAATGTGACGTTCTTTATGATAAAAACATTACTTTTAAGAATTGCTAAAAAAAATGCTAAGCTAGAAAAAAAGTAATTAATCAACCCAAAAAATAAGTCGCGAAAAGATTTTTTTTAAGAAAAAATTAATCACAAAAGTGTGTGTAGCAATCGCGATCGCAATACGCTAAATACGAGCCCTGTAAGACTTTTTTATAAGTTCTAAACTATTAAATAGTTTAGTTTTAAATATTAGTATTAAATAGTTTAACTATTACTTATAACTTTTTTTTAACGACGTCTTTCATTGTACTGTTTTTGCAAAACTAATTAAAAAAACTTGATTAAAACTTAACTATTTAATCACGACTTTTTTTTACTTGAAAATCGAAGTAGATATTCTAAAGTTGTTGTGACGTACTAACGTGATTTTTAACGACTAACAATCGAGTTTCAATGGTGAAAAAATCAAATCAAAATGGAGTTGTTTTTTATTGATTTCGGCAATTGCTTTTTGTTAGCATGCATTTATTATTACAATTTAGTGAAAAAGAAAAAAAACTTACATATTTTTTTTTTATGCTCTTTCATATGAGATCATATGTTAGGAGCACTTAGGGATCCCTTTAAAAAAAAAAAGAATAGAGGATTGTTTTTGTTTGAAAGAATTCTTTTCACAAATGTCTAATCTAAATTTTCTGGTTTCTTATTAACCAAAAACCAGTTCTTTTGATGTAATTTAACATAAATTTAGTTAACAAATATATCTTATTGGTATCTAAAATCTCTCTATAAATTATTTATAATCAAATAAAAATATTACATGAAATAAAAAAATTCTTAAAAAAAAATAAGTTCTGATAAAGAAACAAAAAATTAAGTACAAGATTGCTTTAGGAAATAATTTATGAGGAAATATAATTTTTTCCAAATACCTGATTCAGTAATTTTTGTTATATTACTTTATAATACGCTGTCACAATTTCACTTTTAACAATGTAAATATCAAATCTGTGTGAAAGTTACATTTATTAGCATTAGGCATTTTCTCTACACGATAAAATTTCATAACAAGACCTGATCTATCCTTTGAAAGCCATCAAAATTCTGTGTGCAAAAGTAATCTTACAAAATCTCCATTATTATTCTGGCTTAGCTGCTGAAACATTCTATCATTTTTGGCATTTGATTTTATTCACAACTTAAATTACTATACTTAATGATGAATGAAGAATTTTTTTCCAAAAAGATGTCTGTGCTCCTCACAATGAATACATGGTATATCTTGATAAATGACTGTGGTATAAATTCATTTAATGGTGTTTTATTACTAGTGTATTTTTTTAGTATCAATTTAAAAAACCGGATAACAGTTCCCATCAAAAAAGCAACAAAAATAGGCAGTTGTTTTTTGAACATGGTAGACCTGCACTTTCTGGTTGGCCACAAACTTTGTAAGATATTTAATCAAAATAACATTAAAATAAGCTACTCATGTATGCCAAATATTAAGTCGATCATTAATTTGCAAAATCACAGGATATTATATAGCCAAGATAAAAATGAGGGAAAAACATGCAACTGTGTCAACAAATCCATCTGCCCCATGAACAATCAGTGCTTGACAAAAAACATTGTTTATCAAGCCATTAACGAATGACCCATCAATTTGCGGTTAACAGACTATTCGTTAACCAAAAAATCTTATAAAGCGTTTTGCAACCAATGTAGTTAATACTCATAATCATTAGAGACGCTTTCTGAATACAGGATCTTCCAAATTTCAATGAGCATAGTGTTTTGTTTAAATTAATAAACTCACTTTTTCAGTTTATTTATATTATTTGTTTTAAAGAGAAGATCAACAAAATAAACAAAAAAATAAACAAAAGAGTAAAACAAAAAAATTAACTAAATTGAGGACACTAAAACTCTAAGAGAAAACAATTTTAAATTACAATTATTAATTTAGAATTTATTTATTAGGAATTACATTTGGAATAAACACAAAACTTTTTATAATGTTTTCGTATGTGAAATGTTCTTAAATAAAGTCACTAATTCTTTTTGTATACAATAAACACATTTCATTTAAATTATCAAAGAATATTATATACAATTTTATTTTATTTATATAAATATTTATTTTATATAATAAATTGAACTATTTCTATGATTAATTTTATTAACATGACTTTTAAAAACGACTGGATTTTATGAACGTAAGCAACAACAAAGATGTCTTGAAAAGGAAAAACATTGGCGCGAAAACTTAAGTTATGTAATTTAACTCAAATAAAATTACACCATTAATTTGCATTTTATACAAGCACTTTAAAATGCTGTATTATATTTTTATTATGTATACATTTATTATATATAAATATATGTATATATTTTGACATCTTCACTTCCAACAAGGCAGCAAGCAATCACTATTTTGGAAGTTACTGGAAGAAAAGAGATAAAATTTATAGAGCAAGAAAATGATTGACAGACGACTTTGAAAATAGCAAATTATATGAATCAGGAAAACAAGATGAAGGAAGGGAATTTCAAACAATTGATGTTTGAGGAAAAAAAAAAGACAAATAAGAACTTTTGGAATACTTAGGAACAGTCACAATAAAAGGATGAGAATTAATTGAATAATGAGTAACACAAGAATGAATTTTAGTAGATGAAACAAGAGACACTAGCTCTTTAGAGCAGCGCCCATTATAGTATTTACAGAAAAGAGAAAGAACAGCAACATTACGACAATGTGGTAATAGTTGGAGGTTGGCTAAAAGAACAGACCCAACTATGTTTACAATAAGTTTTTGCACCTTGTCTAAAAAAAAAGGACATCATTAGAAGATCCGCCCCAAATATGGCAACAATATACCATACAAGGATGGATTTAAGATTTAAAAAAATAAAGAATTGAATTTTGAGTAAGAAAGTAGCAAGCACAATAAAAAGATGCAACCTTAGCAGATACAAATTTTGCAATGGATTTGATATATGATTTCCGAGAAAGATCAGAAGTAAGAGTTAATCCTAGAAAATGAAGGGTAGATGACTTATCGAGTACATTACCGTTCATAAATATAGGAAGATCTAGATTATTGTAAGTTATTAGATTCAAGATGAGTGATTAATTGTTTGGTAATTAAAGATTCAAAAATCTTGCTTATGATAGGAAGAAGACTAATGGGACGGTAATTAGACTAGTTAGATCACTCATTAGAGTTTTTAAAAAAATGATAACAGATGCCACTTTCCAGCAGTCTGGAAAATAAGACTCTGATAGACACTTGTTAAATAGTTTCGAAAGTATAGATAACAGATCCGTAGATCACTTCTGCAAGACTATAACAGGTATGTTGTCTGGACCACAAGCTGTGGAATAATCTAAGGAGGAAATTAATTTAGGTACAGAAGCTGAAGTGATACGAAATTTAGGCAAAGAACTAACCTGTTTGTTGGCGATATCAGGTAGAACTCGAATAGTGGAATCAAGAGATAATATAGATGAGAAATTCTTAGCAAACAATTCAGCCTTGTCTTTAGGTGACAAAATCTGAACTATACAAGAGACCTGAAAAAACAGATTTGCCCTTATAGATACTGTTAAAGATTCTCCAGAAGTCACAAGAGCCTAATTTTGAGATGAAATACGAGATTTCGTGATCTGAGAATAGCAGGCTTTGGAAAGTAGTGGTTTTGATAAGAAATTGCAGCAGCACAATTTTCTATAAGGGGAAAACCATGGAGAAGAGTGAGGCTTGACTTGGAATCGTCAAAAGGGAATAAAAGATTCCATGCCAGCCTGAATCCAATAAGTTATGTAAGAAGCACATTGGTCAGCAGGAAGATGAAAGATTTCTACCCAAGGGGCATCACAAAGAAAATTATGTAAAGAGTCCCAGCCAGCTTTTAGATAGTTGTAAGAGGTACAATGATAGGAGGGATTCTGATGATGAAGAAGAAGAGAGATCAAACCATGAGCAGAAGCACCTATGGGTAAATGTGGAGAAACTGAGCACTGATTAGGATCATAAACAAGACATAAGTTGAGTAGAGAAGGTAAATGATTTGGATTGTCTGGAAAGCGAGCATTATTTTTTGTTTCTTGAAAATAGTTTAAAAAGTAGAAACATTATATTGCAAACATTAAATGAATTTGAATTAAAAAAAAAATAAATTATTCTACTTATTTACATTATATATTAATAAATTATTCTACTTATTTGTATATCTTTACATTAATAAATTATTCTACTTATTTGTATATCTTAAGATATAAATACTATTGATATGGCAAAATATTTTATTATGTTATTTATATCTTAAGATATAAATGAACATTGATATGGCAAAATACTTTTTACAAAAATATATTTATATATTTTTGTAAAAAGTATTTAAAATTATATATTTTGCCAAAAAAAAAAAAAAAATTAAAGCATATACTTAAACTTACGGAAATACATTAAACTTATTTGAAACCAAATTTTATTTTCCTATTTTAACAAAAAAATTGAATGAAATCATTAACTTTAAAAACCCTTTGAATGAAAAAAACAAACAAATTACACTAAAAAACTAATTACACTTAAATTCTTAATAACTTCGAAATTTTTAATATGATATTGAAAAAAATTTTTGCAATCAGATTTTTTTTTGCATTTATTCTGTATGTATATACATACATGTGTGTATATATATACATATGTATACATACATATGTATATATATATACATACATATTTATTTTTACTCAATCTTTTTTAGTAGAAATAATTAGAAACATGATACTGACCTCTCACTAGCTGATTTAACTGATGATAGTCCACTAAACAAAAAGTGATATTGCTGACGATCAATAAATTGCACTTCATTTGGATTTGATGATGGAAGATTTGGATTTGGTAAAAAAACTTTGCTCATCATGAAGTGAGATATAAGAATATCTAAACTTTTCAAATACGAAGCTTCTGATGTAATTACCTCAAACATTGCCTATATCAAATTCAAAATTGCATCAAAAATGTTCTTTTATACCATTATTATAATGGATATAGAATATATGCATATAGACATAATTATTATACATTATTAGTATCATCCTAAACTTAACTGTTTGAATCAGGATTAAGATTAGAAAAAAAAAGTGAGATAAGCAGTGACAGATAAACAAAGAAGTATAGACAATTTAGATTTACTAAATATGTGATAAATGTAAAAAAAATTTTTATCATAATATTAAAAATGTAGAGTGTAAAAATGCAGATGGTTAGGTATCAGCATCAAGAGGGCAGTTTCAGGTATAAAAAAAAAAAAAAAAAAAGGTAAGAGTAAAATGTAACCTAATTTTTTACTTACAAATTGAGATAAAATTCAACCTCCAGGTTGATTTTTATCTCAATTTATAAGTAAACAATTAAGTTTAAAGTCAAAACCACATGCTATGTTATTTTATTTTAAAAAAGTAAATCGTGTATTTTATCTAACTTAATTCTTTTGTAAGTTTTTTTTAATACACTGACAAATTCTTCGTAACTACATGACAGCAATGTTTGGTGTTAGCTGTGTTTGTCTGGAGCATTAAAAAGTATTAACAGTTTCTGAACCAATCAATGAAAAATTTTCTAATATTTTTAAATATAAAACTAGAAGCATATATTTGTATTTTCTCTTTGACAAAATTACTTGTCAAATATTTGTATTTTCTTTTTGACAAAATTTCTTGTCAAATATTTGTATTTTCTTTTTCGACAAAATTACTTGTCAAATATTTGTATTTTCTTTTTGACAAAATTACTTGTCAAATATTTGTATTTTCTTTTTGACAAAATTACTTGTCAAATATTTGCATTTTCTTTTTTGAAAAAATTTCTTGTCAAATATTTGTATTTTCTTTTTCGACAAAATTACTTGTCAGATATTTGTATTTTCTTTTTGACAAAATTACTTGTCAAATATTTGTATTTTCTTTTTGACAAAATTACTTGTCAAATATTTGCATTTTCTTTTTTGAAAAAATTTCTTGTCAAATATTTGTATTTTCTTTTTCGACAAAATTACTTGTCAAATATTTGTATTTTCTTTTTGACAAAATTTCTTGTCAAATATTTGTATTTTCTTTTTCGACAAAATTACTTGTCAAATATTTGTATTTTCTTTTTGACAAAATTACTTGTCAAATATTTGTATTTTCTTTTTGACAAAATTACTTGTCAAATATTTGCATTTTCTTTTTTGAAAAAATTTCTTGTCAAATATTTGTATTTTCATTTTCGACAAAATTACTTGTCAAATATTTGTATTTTCTTTTTGACAAAATTACTTGTCAAATATTTGTATTTTCTTTTTGACAAAATTACTTGTCAAATATTTGCATTTTCTATTTTGAAAAAATTTCTTGTCAAATATTTGTATTTTCTTTTTCGACAAAATTACTTGTCAAATATTTGTATTTTCTTTTTGACAAAATTACTTGTCAAATATTTGTATTTTCTTTTTGACAACATTACTTGTCAAATATTTGTATTTTCTCTTTGACAAAATTTCTTGTCAAATATTTGTATTTTCTTTTTCGACAAAATTACTTGTCAAATATTTGTATTTTCTTTTTGACAAAATTACTTGTCAAATATTTGTATTTTCTTTTTGACAAAATTACTTGTCAAATATTTGTATTTTCTTTTTTGAAAAAATTTCTTGTCAAATATTTGTATTTTCTTTTTCGACAAAATTACTTGTCAAATATTTGTATTTTCTTTTTGACAAAATTACTTGTCAAATATTTGTATTTTCTTTTTGACAAAATTACTTGTCAAATATTTGCATTTTCTTTTTTGAAAAAATTTCTTGTCAAATATTTGTATTTTCTTTTTCGACAAAATTACTTGTCAAATATTTGTATTTTCTTTTTGACAAAATTACTTGTCAAATATTTGTATTTTCTTTTTGACAACATTACTTGTCAAATATTTGTATTTTCTTTTTGACAAAATTTCTTGTCAAATATTTGTATTTTCTTTTTCGACAAAATTACTTGTCAAATATTTGTATTTTCTTTTTGACAAAATTACTTGTCAAATATTTGTATTTTCTTTTTGACAAAATTACTTGTCAAATATTTGCATTTTCTTTTTTGAAAAAATTTCTTGTCAAATATTTGTATTTTCTTTTTCGACAAAATTACTTGTCAAATATTTGTATTTTCTTTTTGACAAAATTACTTGTCAAATATTTGTATTTTCTTTTTGACAACATTACTTGTCAAATATTTGTATTTTCTCTTTGACAAAATTTCTTGTCAAATATTTGTATTTTCTTTTTCGACAAAATTACTTGTCAAATATTTGTATTTTCTTTTTGACAAAATTACTTGTCAAATATTTGTATTTTCTTTTTGACAAAATTACTTGTCAAATATTTGTATTTTCTTTTTTGAAAAAATTTCTTGTCAAATATTTGTATTTTCTTTTTCGACAAAATTACTTGTCAAATATTTGTATTTTCTTTTTGACAAAATTACTTGTCAAATATTTGTATTTTCTTTTTGACAAAATTACTTGTCAAATATTTGCATTTTCTTTTTTGAAAAAATTTCTTGTCAAATATTTGTATTTTCTTTTTCGACAAAATTACTTGTCAAATATTTGTATTTTCTTTTTGACAAAATTACTTGTCAAATATTTGTATTTTCTTTTTGACAACATTACTTGTCAAATATTTGTATTTTCTTTTTGACAAAATTTCTTGTCAAATATTTGTTTTTTTTTTTTCGACAAAATTACTTGTCAAATATTTGTATTTTCTTTTTGACAAAATTACTTGTCAAATATTTGTATTTTCTTTTTGACAAAATTACTTGTCAAATATTTGCATTTTCTTTTTTGAAAAAATTTCTTGTCAAATATTTGTATTTTCTTTTTCGACAAAATTACTTGTCAAATATTTGTATTTTCTTTTTGACAAAATTACTTGTCAAATATTTGTATTTTCTTTTTGACAAAATTACTTGTCAAATATTTGCATTTTCTTTTTTGACAAAATTTCTTGTCAAATATTTGTATTTTCTTTTTCGACAAAATTACTTGTCAAATATTTGTATTTTCTTTTTGACAAAATTACTTGTCAAATATTTGTATTTTCTTTTTGACAACATTACTTGTCAAATATTTGTATTTTCTTTTTGACAAAATTACTTGTCAAATATTTGTATTTTCTTTTTGACAAAATTACTTGTCAAATATTTGTATTTTCTTTTTGACAACATTACTTGTCAAATATTTGTATTTTCTTTTCGACAAAATTACTTGTCAAATATTTGTATTTTCTTTTTGACAAAATTACTTGTCAAATATTTGTATTTTCTTTTTGACAACATTACTTGTCAAATATTTGTATTTTCTTTTTGACAACATTACTTGTCAAATATTTGTATTTTCTTTTTGACAAAATTACTTGTCAAATATTTGTATTTTCTTTTTGACAAAATTACTTGTCAAATATTTGTATTTTCTTTTTGACAACATTACTTGTCAAATATTTGTATTTTCTTTTTGACAAAATTTCTTGTCAAATATTTGTTTTTTTTTTTTCGACAAAATTACTTGTCAAATATTTGTATTTTCTTTTTGACAAAATTACTTGTCAAATATTTGTATTTTCTTTTTGACAAAATTACTTGTCAAATATTTGCATTTTCTTTTTTGAAAAAATTTCTTTTCAAATATTTGTATTTTCTTTTTCGACAAAATTACTTGTCAAATATTTGTATTTTCTTTTTGACAAAATTACTTGTCAAATATTTGTATTTTCTTTTTGACAAAATTACTTGTCAAATATTTGCATTTTCTTTTTTGACAAAATTTCTTGTCAAATATTTGTATTTTCTTTTTCGACAAAATTACTTGTCAAATATTTGTATTTTCTTTTTGACAAAATTACTTGTCAAATATTTGTATTTTCTTTTTGACAACATTACTTGTCAAATATTTGTATTTTCTTTTTGACAAAATTACTTGTCAAATATTTGTATTTTCTTTTTGACAAAATTACTTGTCAAATATTTGTATTTTCTTTTTGACAACATTACTTGTCAAATATTTGTATTTTCTTTTCGACAAAATTTCTTGTCAAATATTTGTATTTTCTTTTTCGACAAAATTACTTGTCAAATATTTGTATTTTCTTTTTCGACAAAATTACTTGTCAAATATTTGTATTTTCTTTTTGACAACATTACTTGTCAAATATTTGTATTTTCTTTTTGACAAAATTACTTGTCAAATATTTGTATTTTCTTTTTGACAAAATTTCTTGTCAAATATTTGTTTTTTTTTTTTGACAACATTACTTGTCAAATATTTGTATTTTCTTTTTCGACAAAATTACTTGTCAAAGAAACTTCTATCTACTTGAATCTGAAAAACAAACTGAAAAAAGTTCTTGATTATTATTTCATTCTGAAATGTAATTATCATAATTATGATTTGAAATTATGATAATTATAACAAAGTTTCATTTTGGTATGATAATTATAAATAAATTTCATTTTAATAATAATAAATAAAAATGGTAATATTTTAAGTTTTTAAGTAATAAAAATGGTTAAAGCTTTTTAAGTAGACTAATAATTGAAAATTAAAATTTGAAAATTCAACTTAAATTTAATGTAATAGATACCAAAAAAAACAACAGTTTATTGTTATAAATACATGTGTCAGTTTACTATATTTTAACCAATATAAAGAAAACTTTACGGGACACCATCTCAGATTTTCCTGATTATTACATATTATTATGTGGATTATGTAGATATATTAAATTTGAAATTTCAAACTTCCAAGTACAAAGGTTTAGAAATTATAGACTTACAAACAAACACAGTATCCACCCTTGATTTACAAACAGTCAAAATAGGCTATTTTAGAACCTTATAACTTTTTTCTTAATTTAAACAAGTGTCTCATTTTTTCTGAAACAATTTTCTGGATAGTTCTCTC